AGCCTTAGCCAGTCGGTCTTACGTGAAAAAAAAAAATTTCATATTGATAAAAATTCTGACCTTGTGTAGGGTTTCCATGTCCTTAAGCTGATTTTTCAATTCAGTGAAAGTTGGTCTTGAGTCTGGGTCATTCTTCCAGCATTTCATCATGATCTGATACCTATTAAAATAATCTATTTAAAGATTTAAAGAATGCATCGACGTGTTGTGGTTTAGGCATCCTGTATCCATCCTGGAGTAAGTTTGCAATTTTTCTTCCATCCATTCGTGGGTAAGGTGAACCGCCTGGAAGAACCACAAGACCATCGAAATATAAATGTGACAAAAAAACGACCTTCAATGAAACACCACCTTTGTCACTAGATGTAGTTTGAAGCTCATTACGTTTGTCTAACTGAACACGATACATTGTTTAATTAAACATGGTATAAAGCAAAAAACATCTACAGAGCCTCATAAAATTCCATTCGATGTTACCTATGGTGAAAATCTCGTATAACAGAACTCCATAACTCCATCTGCAGAAAGACAAATCAAACGAATATAAATTAAGTGACTATAGACATAAACAGTATATACGACGAATAAAATAAATGTATTCTTTGACAAAGCATAGAATTCAAGTCCTGATTAAAATTGATAAAATTTTTGATAAACTGCTACGGGTAATAATCAGGTATACTTACACGTCACTTTTGGTGGTATATTTACCATACAATAAGGCCTCATAAGCTGTCCACTTCACGGGAAGACGGCCCTAAAGATTTTAAATATCACTTTGTGAAACAGCTCGAGAATTATAGGAAGCGAGTAGTCAGAAATAGTGATATTTAAAATTGTACTCGTATACGCATGGCTGATAGTTTCATTAGGGTCCCAAGGAATTCATGATCGAAATCAGGAATATATCAGCTCAACCACAACAATGATTGTCAAAGATCACTAAACTGAACGAAATGTGATACCGCCCTCACCTCCCCTTTTTCTTGATTACCTTTGTCTTTCGTTCATAAATATTTTCCTGCTGCACATCTCTGGCCATTCCGAAGTCTGTCACTTTACACATTTCCTTTTGTCCAACCAACACATTACGGGCCGCAAGGTCTCGGTGAATGATCTAAGAAAGAATTGATGTAACAGCAAAAATTAGCGATTGTAGAAGAAAAAGAACTGAAATGAAATGGTTCAGAGAGGAAAATAGAAATATCTAGCAACATAATATGGTGTGTGTATTTCTTTTTCTTCCAGATGGCAGAAAATTAAAACTACTACAATAACTGCTCCATATTCCAAAGAGAAGCAAACTACTTTTTTTTTGCAATACGTAGTCATTTCAAAGAACGCTTACCTTAACATTTTAATCGAAATAGGATTCTGTAATGAAGCAGTTTAGCGACCAAAGACGATTTTTTTAAGTTGAAGTTTTAATTCCTTTTCTTCCTTGTCACTAAAATGGATATTTGTTGTACACTCAGTTTAGGCTGAATATCTTAAAAGATCCTATTCCTTCACGTCTCTGCCTTTGCTCACACGAGAAAAACCCAGATATTTTATTTCGATGGGGTACACTTGCAACGATGCACAAATATCGCCATTCTCGCATTGAAATAAAACTTATATGATGACGTCAAAATCGGGAGGGTTCTTTTGTGTTTTTAACTAACTTACAGATTTTGCGGACAAGTAACTCATTCCATCAGCAATTTGCCAAGCAAACTTCATCAGCTGCTGTGACGTCAGATTTGTTTGTGGTTTGATATCCGGGTCTTTGTAGTAAGTGTCTTTTAATCCACGGCTCTTTCTCAGGTAACCCAGCAGATCCCCAAAAGGCACATATTCAATCAAAACCAACAGCTGTTCTGAAGAAATTAAACAATTTAATTGATATGTTACTTTCTTTAAAAAAAAAAGCAGTAATTGAAATAGATGAATAGCCCAGTCATGGTCAACACTTTTGAAGAAATCGCATGAAAACAAGAAAAACTATGCGACGGTCTCATAAGAAAGTACAGACCAATTATTCCCTTACAAAAAGCGTTTCTGCTTCTACAACAGAATGATCTGTTCAGTGGCAAATATTCGGTCTTAGTCTATCAGTAAATCCAGGAACGTCTGTGTTGGCTAAAACAAGATAAAATTACCTTATGCGATGGTTGTTTGTTTTGCTCAATTGCGAAGCGGTCACCCTTCCACTGAGGCAAATTATCAATGACGAGAAAGCGTTACAAAGTAAATCATAAGAAAAATGTGTACAGCAAAATTAGACCCGCATAACCAAAGCATACCAGATTCAGTAACACATCCCAGAAGTTTAATGACGTAAGGATGTGGTTTCAGCTGCTTCATTGTGTCAAGTTCTTTCATCAGATCTCTCTTGTCCGATTCAGTAGCGTTTGCTGGAGCATTAAAAACAAGGAGTAAAATTTGGTTAACGGGAATAATATGCGAAATGTCGGAATAACAACATAACTTATGAAATGGCAAATAGCTAAATAATTACAGTAACCCGGTAACATTTCCTGAATGTCTGTAGGCCAAGACTCATTCAATTTACAGTACAAGAGCTCACTTTTAAGCATCTTAATAGCCACTGTGGTCGTTTCAGGACTCCCTCGAAGTCCTACTGCTGTTCCCTTGGCAACCTGACCAAAAGCACCTTTACCAATGATTTTTTCTATGGTCACGTTATGTCTAGGAACTTCCCAGCAGCGTGTTAATGGATGAAGAGGCACGTAATCAGCACCTGGAGGGGTACTTTGTGCTTTTCTATCATCTTTGTTGACTTCTATGAGATCCATGTATTCCGCATGAGGCTGGGTGAGTTTTCTTGAATCAGGTAGACTTGGTTCGATATCTTCTAATAATGTTTCATTCTATTAAACCAACACACTGTTAAGGTATTCATATCCAAATCTGTTATTAATCCCAGTAAAAAGTACCTCATGGTTATAAAAATCAGTTCACCCATTTTTATCAGACAAATGTTTATATTCTTCCATGATAAGAGATTATAAATAGTTTATAACCTCTTGTCCTTATTATTACTAACATTTTGTTCTCTGCTTTTGAAACTATCATGTCCAATAGAGTGATCGAGGCTCATAGCATATTCGTCGAAGCTACAAACTGCAACGTGAAGATTGTCGATTGGTAGTCCAATATTTTGACAAATAAACGCACGAAACAACTCTTGCAGTACCAAGCTCCTAAACTCACGTTTAGAAAATAAGGCATCAAGAAAATACGACGGCCAAAATGCACGAAATCTATTATTTAGAAAGCAAATATCAACCGGGTGCAGACCAATTAGCGATCTGTGAAGTGAAACCAAGCGGTTGAACCAGGGACAATCGAAGGAAAATCCATGGAGTGGCTTGGTAAAGGACATGATCACAGGACAAAGACCTTATCGAGCCTAACTTCCTCTTTTATTTCATTGTATCTGCCACTGATGCAATATGCTTTTTTTATGTAGAACTACAAATTTTTTCCTTCTCATTTGCTGCAAGCGTTTATTTTCTCATAGAAAGTAGAGGTAAAGTAAGATTACATAATTTCTGGTCACACTAACATGACCTCAATGTCTTAGCTGTAACTTACGTCGCAAACACGTCTCTCATCTTCATAAGTCCTACAATTGAGAAAGCATAGAAATAATTATAAAACGCTAAGAATTTCATCAGTTTTTATTGGAGTTTTGTGTTAAGATGAAACCATATCGGGCACATTACATCGACACAATCCAACTAGCAGAAAATTCTTACCTCTGTTTCCCTACAGCGCCTGAAAAAGAACGAAAGGAAAAAATACAAATGATGTAAACGTGAGTAAAAATTTGCTTTTGCGTGAAAAAGAATCTTGCAGCCAAACATAGATTATGATTCTTTTACCTACCTTTCTTATGTAGCCAGATTATGTAAATAATTAGAAGAAGGACTGTGAAGGCAAGAACCCCAATTACGGCCAACAAGACGTTGTTGGATGGGCAGTTACATTCCTCAGGACCTAAAATGATTCATTTTGCAAAGCTTGATGAAATAACATTCAAACAACATTTACACTGATCCTGGTCGATACACTGCTCTCACTACATAGCTGAGGTTCATGACCGGAAAACGTTAACTCTAATTGGCTTGGTACGAAGGAAGAGTAAGGTGCTACTCTCTCTAAAATAATTTTTAAGAGTAAGACTTTGTTTAATTAAATAAAACAACAACGACAAAAACAAAAACTTGGAAGTGTATCAGTCACAGAATAAGTTGTTTAATTAAATAGATACGGAATACGATTATAAAGAGTCCATCTTCGGAAGAATACGTGTAAACATTGAACAATGTCTTTGTAAAATTTACCTTTTGTTGTGCTTTCCGAGCCATCTGTGGGTATTAAAACTTGTTTAATTGAGTCTGGATTGACTTTAAAACCTCTGAATTTGTCTTGCCTTGCAGCATCCGACAGGACAATCAAAACATTGCTGACGACTACAGTTTGATTGAACCTCATCATAAAGTCAAGAACAACACTGCCACACCTAGATAAGGGAGTGGGGGGGAGGGAGAGAGAGAGCAAAGAGTATCATCGCACACATTCGTACTTTGGTGATTTTTAAGTGTTAAAATATATTGAGATTTAACCAATGTATTAAACCAAGGTAAATAAAGACAATATCAAAGACAATATACTTCAAACATAAATTATCTTGTATTAAATAAGATTTGCTAGAGCAAAAAAAACACTTTTACAGCTAAAATACAACACATTGAAATAAAGCTCCTTTCCCCTACTAGAAGGCAAATTTGAGTTTGCATTTGTTGTTTCAGTGTAGAACAACAAACTGTACCTTACCTGGTGTTCACAGTGTTGGCGGATGAGCAGCCAAACCTGAAGGCAATTTGACAAGCCTAAAAGGACATATCAAGAAAAAACGTATATTCAAATGCTTGTCACATATTGAAGATCGTTCAGAATATCTTATTTTTTTAACAGAAATATTAAGATTTGATTCAAGAACAGATTGATTAAGATTCACTTTTCATGATAAATCTCATGGCAGTATTCCTTAAACTCCAGTATATGGATCAAGTAGATTATCTAACCATTTCTGGAAATTTCGCAGCAACTTCAGAACGTTTGCTACAGTCCTCCTCTATTGTCGCTGTCAGGTAAACTTCTGTGCTTACTGTTTGAACTGGGGAAAAACAAAATACGACTTAAAATGAACGTTTGTTTGTTTGTTTGTTTGCACAAGAATTATCATTTGAACTCATGTATAAAGCCTTTACTTAAAAAGAACACTGGCATAAAATGTACGAATGGGAGGCCAATTTGAGAGATATTGTTTTTCTTGTATTTTGCGTCACGATGGTGTTCTCAGAATCGTTCCCCAAGTCGTCTTCCTTTTCGCCGAAGTATAACTTTTTGAAATAACCGCAAGTTATGAAATAGATGACATTGATGGTGGCAGTCTCAACATTATTTATGAAAGGAAAAGTTTTGTGTTATGCACGCGAGGTTAAAGCCTCGGGTTGATAATTTATTTACAAAGTAATTCTGACCAATAGGCAATAGGCCACTTCTGAGTTCTCACGGTTCAGTAATCTGTTGTCGAAATTACGGCGCGTAGAGGAGGCGAAGTCGCTCTCATTGGTATGAAGAATGGAGTGCAGTGGTGGTGAAATGAGAGAAAAGTTCTCAGAATTCAGTGTGGGAGAGTGAACATTTTTTTGTGGGAGAGAGGCATCAACTAAGTGATGGCGGCAAAGGAAAGAAAAAAGCAGTTAATTTAAGTACGAGAAGATAAATCTAAAAAGTTGCAGAGTTCTCTTTCCAGGTTCAGGTGAGCATGTGTCAGTAAACTAGTTAAAATATCTGTGTGTGCCAGCCAATGATTGAAATCTCAGTTACTAGATATGCCATATCTTTGCAATTGGCACACATATATCTACTGCGACGTAAGTGAAATTTTTCATATTGATTCAGGTTTTTTGCAAGCGAAGAATTCACCCGTAAAAACCTCGATATTCGTGACACGGAGAGTGCTTGAAAACTAAGTAAAGAAAAAGATAACCTTTGAAAGGCGAAAATAAGATTCATTTGAACATACTACCTTCTGCCTTGACTTGCTGGATATTTGCTTTCTCCTGTTTTAGGCTTTCACCAAGCTCATTAGTTGCAGTAATGGCAAACTGATACACCTTTCCTTTCTCCAACGCTATTTTAAATTCTTTCGTAGAAACATCTCTGATTTTCCTTATTTCTGTCCATTGTCCCACTTTCCCATCAGTTACTACTCTTTGGTACACTGTATACATGGTGATAACTTTTCCATTACTTTCTGGCTCCTTCCACTTTAGGGTAATTGTATCGTCTGTTGTTTCATCTGGCAGTTGGTCTATTTCGACCACATCTGGGGCTCCTAGATTGATGTCAACAACACGGACAGCGTGAAATTTCTAATAATTATACAACTTCTTGATAATAACCTGGTCACAACCATTATCAGTGATTAGATAATCTGTAAATTGGTCGAAGATTTTTTGGGATATTTTTTAAACGAACGTGTATTGCAAGCAAAATTAATTTAAGTAATTTAAAATAATTTGAATAGACAAAAAGTGATAATGAGAAGCCTAAAATGATGGTCGGTTGTAACTTAAAACAAATAGTGATTTGTTTAGCTACTTTCATATGATCAATTGAAGTACCGATGCATTCATTTGTGTTACGTAATTACAGAAAGTTTGACATCGCGCATGACTTAGTAAAGGCACTCGGCCATGACACAGCGGAAAAATGAGTGCGCATGCTCCGCTTCTCAAGCCATTCGAGTTTCTTCTTCTTATCGGTTTTTCCACCGATAAAACAAACTTTTCTCTCCAGGGGGTTTGCCAACTGAGGAGGCAATGACAAGAAGCGCAAAAGCGATAACAGGTACTTTTCAATTCTGTGCGACGAAGTGACTGACAACACCAAACGTGAGCAGCTTTCATTTGTCTTTAGGTTCGTTAACAGACTTTAAAATTTGCGAAGAGTTTTTAGACTTCCAGTCTACGGAAAGAATAACTGGAGAGGTGATCTCGCAATTGATCCTAGGAAAACTCGAGCAGTGGGGCCTGGATATTTCCCACTACCGAGGTCAAGATTACGACAGTGCCTCAAACATGTCCTCCCAAGCTAGAGGTATACAAGGCTTAATTTCCAGGAAATAAAGGGGTAAGTTTCCAAAGAAACTGTGGTGCTGTTTCGGTGGGAGAGTATAGCAGGTAATTTAGCCTTGTGCGTTAGCCCTTCGTCAGAGCGATTGACGAATTCGCATGTTCTTAATCTCGTTATCGTTAATTTCCAGGAAAACCTCAAAGCCTTGTGCGTACACTGCAATTCGCATGTTCTTAATCTCGTTATCGTAAAGGCATGTAGCTTGCCATTAGTTCCCAACATGGCTGGCACAATTGCAGAATGTGCAAACTTTTTTTAATTACTCCCCTAAGCGGCTGAGGTGCTTGAAAAAAGTGATAAGCCTAGATCAGCCAGAGTCTCAAGGAACCAAGATTAGCGACCCTTGCCATACTCGTTGGGTGGAGCATCACGAGGCGCATGAAACTTTTGTTCAGTTACTTCCATCAGTAGTTAAAACGTTTGAGGTTATCTTGGAACTGTGATAGAAACCCTCCAAAGAGCAAACGGCTGCTACCATACCTGGTGTTTTTTCCAGTTCCTCATGTCCTTGACGGTCACGATGAAAATTCTGGCATTCATAAAGCCGATTGACGTAAAGCTACAAAAAAGTCTAATGACATTGTTAAAGCCTACAATATGATTTCGGAGACAGAGAAGAAGTTGAAACAATTGCGACAAAAGAATGATGTTGTCTTCAAAAGATGGTACGCATATGCTGTGGAGATCAGTTCAGAGCTGGGAACAGAACCAAGTGCTCCTAGAACGGCGTCAAGACAACAACATAGGGCAAATGCACGCCATGACACAGCTGAGGAATATTACCGTCGCAATCTGTTCATTCCATTCCTTGACCATATCACACAAGAAATTTCTTTAAGGTAATCTATATAAATTATCAACCTTTCGGCTGTTTACTTAACCATAAATATTTCGAGAAATAATGCATGATCGAGCAAACAGGTTCATTCATCACAGGAATTTTTTTTTCAGATTTGGGTCCACTCAGAAGACTGCTATGCAATTGCTTCGTCTTATGCCAAGCACCACTGTAGCGTGCACAAATGTAGACCTAGTTGAATTCTCCGAGATGTATAGGTCAGATATCCCAAGCCCACAGACTCTCGACATTGAATATGATCGTTGGATGAGAAGATGGCAATCCGAAACGGACAAACCAGACGCGCTTCAACCTGCCTTACATGCTGAAGCACGTCTTGCGTCGTGCATCGTTGAAGCGCGAAGTAACTCAGTTTGTTTTTGTTCAAATTTAACAAATGACAGCTTTATTGATTACACTTTTTGTCGATCTACAGGCTTGTGATCCCAACATCTTTCCGGACATCCACATCTGTTGTTGCGAATAGCATGTACAATTCCAGTAACATCAGCTGATAACGAGCGCTCAAACAGCACTTTGAAACTAGTCAAGGGCTACCTTCGGACCACGATGACAACCGAGAGACTTTCTGGCCCGGCTTTAATGAGTATTCACTATGAAAAGCCTTTCGATTACGATGCTATAGTTCAGAAATTTGCCGAACAACAACCTCGTAGAATGTTACTCGTTGATCCCATTTTTGAGGAATCTTAAGCGTGACCTTTTAGAACACATTAAATAGCGAAGAAAAATATATTACTGTGATTTTAGTTTCATTTTCTAGGGGTCAGTTGATCTCGATTACTGTCAAGACCAAAACGTAGTCCTTGTTTAATAAAATAGCTTTCATAAGAGATGGTTAAGGTATTTTAAAAACCGTCCACCATCATCCCTCAAAACGCTGGAAATCGCATTTCCGAGGACTTAAATTTCAAAACTTCCCGGGGGAGCATGCCCCCTGCGGACCCCCCCAGATGGGTCCGCCTTCGGCGACCCATTTGTTCGAAGCCCCCTTTTCGAAATTCTGGATCCACTCCAATACTGCAAAATGGATAGTTGGTTGTTGGGTGTTCTGAATATAGCCGGTAAGCGTTTAGGAAAACTGTATCCAACTAACGTAAAGATCACTATCTAGCGTTTTTTGTTGTTATTAGTTTATATCAAAAGATTTTGAGACGTGAATATAAAAAAAAACACCACAAGGCAAACAATTCTTGATAAAACAGGTAGCATTTACGGAACGTAACCGCATGGGTTGTCTCTTATTCTCACCTACGTTTACCTGTGGTTTAGTGATACGCTTCTTCATAAGTAGGTACCTATCAAATAACTATTAGAGAGGGAGAGGAAAATGGCCATTATGGGGGGGACTTAAAATCAAAAATCTTATAATACGGCAAGCAGATAAGATGGTAAAACTGGGACCACTCACAACAAATCTAAGTTGGTAACAAAAAGGTTGGTGCTAAGTGCTCAATCACAATATCACCTCTGATTCCTCACCTTCAAGCTTGGTCTTAATCGTCCTTACAGTAGGATCTCCCTCGAATACGAAATTTCTGGAAAACAGTTTCACTGTGTAGTTGGTATTTTTCTCCAAACCACGAAACGAATAAGATGTCGTCCCAGGATTGGTGATAGCATCCTTTTCTAACTCAGTTTCACCCTTTTGTAAGATCAGTTGGTATCCTGTAATCGGACTTCCTCCATCATCAGCTGGTGCAGTCCATCGTATTGTTATAAAAGTTGCTTGAATGACTGATTCTGACGATTTGATGGATGCTTTCCCTGGTTTCTCTTTATGGTGCCATAAAAAAGGGATCATTTTGAGCAAAAGGAAAAAAAAAAACCGAAGGAGAATTTTTTTTTCAGTGATTACCCCACAGTGAGTTTTGTTACAATACTTAGGATGAATGCAAGTCTTTGTATTAATAAAGTTTAATGAATAACATGTAGCTACTGGATAAATTCAGCCAAGAGCTTAAGAAAACGAGGAAAAATTAAGTTTCCATGGTTGAGGAAGTTTCCTACGGTTACTCGCATTGGAAGATGTCGCCAATCTTCCTGAATTTCAACGCTCTTTTTTAACGTGTTTAATGCTACCAGTAGGCAGGGTGTCGTCAATTTACTGTTAATCGTTTTTACAAATATGGGTGCATTTTCCTCTAAAAGGTCAGGCTTACTATATCCGGCACAATTCCACTATTACGCTGTTATACCTCATTGGCGTAACGAACGTGAAATATATGTGAAGGTCTAATGCTGCTAAAGATGGGAAACGTCATTGGAACGCTCAGATAAGGCCGCAGGATGTATGTCGAAAACTAAGCGGCCAAATTGTTAGCCAATGAAAGAATGATAAGTCCCTTACTCGATGGTGTAACATAAGCTTACATTTTTCCACACAACTATAGGCTTTGCAAAATATCCGCATATATTATTTGTTAAACTATCAAATGTACAAAGTGAATAAGTTACTCTGTCCAATACTTTGTAAGAAAATTTGGGTTTTACTTCTAATACACCTGAAACAGTGATAATGGGCAAAGGCAAAGAAAATGCTGACCTTATATATACTTTTCTTCTTATCAAAATACACTGATCTTTTTTACTTACTTATCGGATTTATCTTTATTAACTCCTCATCAGGTGGAGTAAGTCCATTGGCAGCAATGCACTTGTAATGACCAAAATCTTGATCACCCCTGAGTGGCACCTGTACTTTGTTTTCTCTGGCTGTGACTCTGTTTATTTCACTTCCTTCAGGTTTGTACCAAGAGAGTGTTGGTGTAGGAACACCATCAGAAAGACACTTCAAAGTCACTGTCTGGCCAATCCAAGACTTCTTAGATGACGTGGTGACATTCTGAATTGTGGGTGGGTCTAAGAATAAATACCAATGCAATAAGCAATTGAATGAATAATTGGTAATACCTCATATCAATTAGAACGTTAATGAGCTTTATCATTCCACTTCTGTATCATTCGTGATTAAAGCGAGATATGAAGTACTCCTCGACCAATCAGAGTGCATGCATGTATATAATCACCAAAGCAATTATACTAAAACATATATCAATAGCCAGGAGGGTTACAAGTTTCTCGTTTTAAGAGATAAGAAGTATTTAGGGTGGAATTAAAAGAGGAAAAAGAATGGATTGTTTATATACAAGATGGTAACAAGTTCCAAAGTTCAGCTTTTCTAAGAAATATGATTTCCTATAATGATCCTGATTATGTCCGTAGATTAAGTTATCATTGTTAATGTCGAATTTACGATGACATGGCTCAAAGTAAGCAAGTACATGTATTCCCATGTATACAACATGTACATGTATACAACAATAGACATAGGACCATTTCTGGACTTAAAAATAGGAGTAGGTCCGATATTTCTCTACAATAATCAAGAGGCGGTAAGGGAAATCACCGTTTAAACTCAATTTCTCTTGTAAAGAGGCAGATATTGAATATGGCTTGTTAAAAAGGTTGTCACAGAATTTCGGCAAAAATAGATTTGTACTAGCACAAAGTGCAACCCTAATGCCAAAATGTGATCGGTGAGAGCAACAAACTCAAGTGCTGCGATCTTGTTGCGATTGGATTAGGCGAAATGACATTTCTAGACGTTTACGTAATTTCGATTGTTTTTTTTTCTTTACAGGAAATGTTTTATATATGTGGTATACTCCATGAAAGTATGTTCGGTGTAATTTTGATAAGTGACTTCAAAATCTAGAAATCAGTAAACCATTCATGCTTGGTTTTTATCTGCTCCTGACAACTAAGGTCGAGTGCCTGCGCATACGCAAACACCGAAACAATTAAGTATCTCAAAGAGCAGAGCGGCATAGTGCTTGCAGGTTACACAGCCTCTCAAACCAGAAAGTCATGGGAATCAATTACCCAGCAAATCATTTGTGTTTCCTTTCCTTGTCTTTAGATGAAAAAAAAAGAGTGAAGGTTGTAATCACTCCACAGTACAGTCCGTCACTTTCGTGTTATTTGGCAGTCGAGTATTCAGTATAAGGTGGCAAGGCTTAAGAATAATGAAATATAAAATGGATTCTTGCCCTCAAATAGTATATTTCATCGAACACCACAAATACAAATATGCGCAAATCTTAGAATGCAGTTCAAGTTTCAGCCCATTTTCACACCAGCTGATCTCAGCTATCAGTAAAAAAAGATATGTAATATGTAATTTCTCAGTTGACGGTTAGAATTTTGACCAATTCTCAGATTTCCACTAAGCCCCGACCAGAGCCCTCACACAGAATCAGAATATGCCTTGTGCGCTAGTCAAACGGAGCGAATTTTGGGTCGTCACAATGACTCGCATATGGCTTTAAGTCATTTTCTGAGTTAAACACAGTCCAACTGAAGCAATGACTTGGTAAAAAAATGTCACGTCCTCCTAAGGAAAATAACGTGAGAAACAATTCCACCTAAATTAAATCGTCCCAACCAATACTCGAAACTGATGCATGAGCCGAAAAGGATTTGAGGTGGAATCCTGTTTCCTTTCTCTCTTGAAAAGATTCGTCAGTTTTGTGTAACTGACCCCAATGACAGGAGTTGCACTTTAAATAAAGTAAATTCAGAGATAGAAAATTAAGGTTAAAATATACTTACAGTGAACTACAATTGTTGTGTCAACAAAAGTGACTTCCACTGAGTTATTGGCACGACATGTGTATTGTCCTGCATCTGTTCTGTTTATATTATCAAACTTTAAAAACGAAGCTTTCTTCCCTGAACTTTCCAGTACTCCATTTCTAATCCATGCTACATCCGGCAGTGGTTTCCCAGAAGCTTCACAGGCTATGGTGACAGGGGATCCTTCAATGTAATATTTTCCTCCTAAAGAGAGGTTTATAAGTGGTGCCTCTGAAAGTTAAAAGAGATTATATCATTCCTCATATGGCGTAGCAAATCTTACTTGGACTGAGTCTAAGAATTTACCCAATTACAATAACCCTTGCGAAATGGCTTTTGGAATTCCTAGGAATTCCTAGGATTTTCCTAGGAATAAAGGTGTGAATTTTCACGGTAAATTCGGACTGGGAATTCCCAGGAATTCCTAGGAATTCCCAACCATAACAACTCTGGTTCTGAAAACCAAGAAATTCCTAGAAATTCCCAGAAATTCCCAGAAATTCCCAGAAATTCCAAGTTTATAGCCAACAGGACTTGGAATTCCTAGGAATTCCTAGGAATTCCAACTCAGAGAACCAATGACTTTCCCTGAAAAGCTGTAAATCTAAAAAACTCCTAGGAATTTCTGGGAATTTCTGGGAATTTTTGGGAATTTTTAGGAATGTTTAAGAATTACTGGGAATTTTAAGCAAAATTTGAGGCTAATGATATAAAATAAATACTTTAAATTAAAAAACCCAGCTAAAATTCAAGTATTCAATGAAATTTATTTAGATGCTTAATTTAAGGCTTACATGTAAAATATTTTTGATTAATTATTAACATCAATGTGTGGTAATATTAGGATGGAGTTTGATTTATTTTTCTTTTCTTGAGAACTTCATACGGATTAATCCTCAATTACAGCTATTCATATAAAATAGTTCTAATCAATCATCAAATTTGGTTTGACACAAATTGTGAATAAAATCTGTTGATTCTTTTCCATAAAATACAATATCTTAAGTTATATTTGAAAACCAAGCACTCTTGGGAGTGAAGGGGCTAATTACAGACAAATAAAATTGATTTTTTGATTAAAATCTTGTTGTAACTGTAACAATAAATTAGAATGAAGTTATCCTAAACTGCAAACTTAGCTGCTGTTTGTACTGTTTGTATTTTTTTTCCTGGGCTCACAATGAGTTGGCCTTGAATGAGGTTGTCAACAAGAACCTTGACCATTTTGTATCTGGATTCCTTGACATCTGAATTTGAAAAAAAATAATATATTAGAATATGTATATTTAAAGCTCAGACCAGGCTTTTGAGATGGCTATGAGGAAAAGGGCATTCATTGGATTCTCAAATTGAGAAATCTCTGTTATATTTAGTGACTTTTATATTGGAGTTAGTACATCTCTCTCATGGATTTTGCTAAAAAAGGGCTGAATACATTATTTTGTTTTTACCAAGGAGGGCTTCTTTATGTACTAAGGTTTGTTTAATAACAGTTCCTATTAGGAATCTTGAATGTTCCCAAACGTGACTAGAGGAATCTTGAAACCTTACTGATAGGTTTATTTCATTGTAAAGCATAAGCTTAAGAAACTGTGGCATGCAAGTGACCGATTCGATTCTCAGAATTATTCTAGTTTCAGTTGCGGCGAGCGTTATGTAAGCTTAATTCAACCCGCTACATCTATTCTTTTATAAGATTTTGATCACGTAACGAATATCGCAATTTTTACTCACCACAAACTTTCAAAATCGTAGCTTTACAGATGGCCACTCGACCCTTGTTTGTACCAGTCAATATGTCAACTGTTGTCCCTTCTTTTAACTCCATGGCGCCAACGACTTTCTTTTCTTTTACAATACTCACGCTATTCTTGTTTTCCCATTGAACCACAATAAAAGCTATCTTTAGAAATGTTATATTAAGCAAAACAGTTGAGAAAAGCGATCAACCGATGAAAAGTACATTCAAAGATGAGCGCCAAATGGAGTCTTCTTTGTTTCCGATCACGGGCATGATCACGTGGATCTTTTAGGACTTGTCATTGGCTAGCAGAGTGAATCCGCTGGCTTGCCGATTGCAGTGTTAGGAGAAGTGCCCAACTTTATTCTGACTTCTCCGACCGGTTCTCTGCTCCTAGAAGATGGATAGCTTGGTGATATAAATAAAGATGTGAGCTCACTCTATGTAGAAATAATCGACAAGAATCGATCGTATTACAAATGCACGATTTGTGGACGAAAGTTGTCGAGGAAACAAAGACTCGAAACTCACTTGAGTTGTGTTAATGGCAAAGGTGAGAAATAACACAAGCCAATCACAGTTTTGAATGCGACTACAAATCGTCTTTTACCCTCATATTTATAGAAGAAGGATACCACATTCGGAAGTATAAGAGATACATAGATGATCCCAGTGTACCAGTACCTAAATCTACAAAGCTTGACCGTAGCAAGCGTTCAGCAACACATTCCAACACTGCCATCTCGATTCCTCAGTCAGTCGTTTCCACTGAACTTAAAGCAGTATTGACAACAGAGTAGAGTGCGTCTTACAAAGGAGAAACATTTGTACAAGAGACAGAAGTAGCTATATGCGATTACAGAGGTGCGTTGGAACTCTGGTCCACAAATAGTTATGCACTGCCCGAAGTATACAACAATTTTGTTGATAGCTGACAGACAGAGAAGAACAACAAGTAAACTTAAGAGCTGTTATTATTGAAGTGTGACTAGCACTTTTCATTTTTATATAAAGAAGGAATTGTAATTTGCACCAAAAATAAAAAGATGTAATGTTTTTTGGGAGATCCAGTGATTGGGACATTTAAGAGATTAAGTTATGAAAGGAAACTTGGTTGGTACTTCTCACTACTAACAAGTCTTGTTGACAAATATTTTCAGATCAGAGTTTCAAATAAAGTAAATTGAAGACGTCATATAAAAGGTGTTTTTCCTCAAAGGGAACATTGACTACCTCTGTCTTGTCTGCATGCCAAATGTTTGTGGATGATCCACAAGTATTGGAACTCTTACAAAAATGTTTTGTAAGAATAAAAACAGCAAAACAAATTACAGCAATTAGTCATGAAAATAGAGCAAAAAACTGAAAAAAAAAGCAGCAACAACAATCATGAAAAAAGAAAGATTAATTGGGTGTTGAATTTGTTTGTCTAAGGCATGAAATTTCTACTAAAAGTATTGTCAACAAAAAGTCTCTGACAGCGTTTGAGGCAACTGAGCTTGACTGTTCCAAGGTTTTCTAACAAAGGCAACCAGTAATGTAGGTTAGGGAAGTAAGATAACAATGTAATTATTGTTAATTATTGTGGAAGTTGGCAATTTCCATTTAACATAACTGACAGCTGGTTCATGAGAAAATCCATATTAATGTAAAGATTTACTAAAACTTAGTTTGAGTAATAAATTTCATGATCTTTAAGTTATAAACATGTACATGTATGTATATCTCTTGGTAAGTTTTGTATAGCCTCCTTTTTATTGAGCCAAAGTTTTAAGCCTCTGAAATTACTCTTTTTCTTCAAACCTTCACATTCAAGGTATTGAGAATTTCTTAGAATTTATGTGGACCTCAGGGTATTAAAATTGTCTCAAATTCAATTCCCAGAAATTCCCAAGAATTCCACACTTCTTAAATTATAGGTAGTTTGTAAAGCTGAGAATTACTAGGAATTCCTAGGGATTCCAAGTCCTCACAAAACTGGAGTCTTCCTTTCCCAGAAATTCCCAGTAATTCCAAGCTTTTTAAATCAGAGCTAATTTGCATAGTTGGGAATTTCTGAGAATTCCTAGGAATTCCTAGGAATTCCCAGAAATTCCCAGAAAACTGGGAATTCAGTTTGCAAGGGTCATTTGCATAATTGGAAATTTTTGAGAATTCCTAGGAATTCCTAGGAATTCCCAGAAAACTGGGAATTCAGTTCGCGAGGGATTAGATAAACAAAAGTATCCATCGATTGGTCCCCAAAAACCAACTAGTATAAGGAAGCTCAATCATCTTTCAATACAATTTTGCTTGTTCACACGCAAAATTATAAATTTAAAGCAGAACTCTAGCCACGTGTATTAAGAGCTAATCCAGGAAGTAACTTATTGGGCTAAGGATCCTGGCTTCTAAGCTACTCACACGTTTTTGGATAAATTTTTTGCTGTTGCACAAGCAAATAGAAGCAGAGCTAATCAAGCCACACCTCACTTGAAACTTGGCCTGACAAAAGATCTACTGAAGACATCCTAACTGGACTGTATGGAGACCACTGTTAACAATTTGTGCTAAAAGGTTTGAGTAAGAAATGCAAAAAAGACCTTGCAAACCAGAGTAGCTGGGAGAGCATTTGTGAAAGGAAGAAAATCCATTTAATTTTTTAATGACAGAGGTAAAACTTAACGTTGAATAGTACTTGGTAACATATTATGTGCCAGTGTTAAAGGTTGAGGAAACTGTATGTAAAAAAATCCTTGACAATGGAGTGGTTTGCTCAAAAAGTTCCTAGATCTAAAGGTGAATAATACTACTTGTGTATCTTAAAATAGTTTCATCTCCCCACTTACCTATAATAGACTATATTAAACTTTGTTTAGATTTTAAGAGCCACCAATTTGAGTACCAGAATTTTGGTGGGTCCAGATGTAGCTTCTCATCCAGTTAACAATATTACAAAATCTTGGAAGGAGTTATAGAAGAAACCAGGAACTATTATAGAATTCTATGTACTTTTGTTTTGATTTATATTGACCTTTATTCAAGACTTAGATATGCTACCTCTGAAACATCCCCAAAAATCTGTTGGGTACAAGAGCCATAAGAGAGTTACATAGTAGGACATGTTTCACCATGTGTAGGTGTATGCTAGCTTGATCTATCCCACAAACCAAAACAAACCACTTTCATGCAAAACAAGCTAATGCTAAATGAAACTATCATCAAAGGATAATTAACTGAACTGAATTATCATTCAGTTGGGAGACCGAAATTCTCCTTTTTTCCATTTGGTTACAATAAATGATGCTGTATATGCCAGGGAGTAGATTTGACCCAATAAAACAGAGTTTCACCTCATTCAGAAAGTTGGGTAAACATTAACTCCAATTGCTTTTAAAGATCAATAAGTCGCCTTTCAGACATGGATTGGCTTTGGGCTACATGAACCACATGCAAACAATGATTCATTTAGTCCCTTTTAAGCCATAAAACCTGGTATCCTGCTATCATAAGACAATTTGGAAAGAGAGGTAGTGTTACAGGTATTGCATTGCAGTAAATAAGCCCACAGACCTTAGCAAATGCGTAATTAAAATATTGTGATGTAGAAAGTCACATGGTTCCAACTGAGTGACAAGGAAAGAAAGAAGATTATGTAATGGCTGTTAAGCACAAACAATTTGTATTCATTATAGTTGTAACGGACCAAAAACAAGTAAATGAATGGGGTAAATAGTGAGTTTGGATTTTTCAAAATAAGTGAATAAAATCTTTTAAGTGAACAATCAGGTAAATTGTGCATGAGTATTGAGATATCACAAATGTTTTCAACTATGAATCACAGTCAAATGACGAAGAAGTTGTACATACTAAATATCACACTCATTTTTATGTACTTAATGTTGTTAGCACATCCAATATAATGTATTAAAAAATGAATGGTAAAACACTTAGAAAGAAGATTAAAAAGTCTATTCAATGAACACTAGGCTTCTGTTTATACATTAAACGTTTTTGAAAAGTTTAGGTTACATAAGGTCACAAAACGTTTCATACTCTAAATTGAAATTTAATACTTTTAGTCTCTTCTAGCTCTTTGTGGAATTCAGCCAGTTCCTCAGTGGAGCAACCAAAGTCAGCAATAAAATTGGAGCTGTTGAACTGACCGCCATGAATAACAGCATCTGCTAAGAACAGCATTCCTACCTGGCCAACCTGATCATCATTAAATTATCTTCTGTTTGCATGCTTAGACTTCATTGGTTTATTGCTTGACTTGCTCCTTAGTGTCAGATATTACTAGAGGAAATCAGCATTCTGTAGACTAGATTTACATCTGCAAACCTTAAAGATCATAATCCTCAGAAAGCAGCAAATGACACTGTGCCAACTTTCATTGCCTTTGGCAAGTCTCGTTAAAAGGCTTGAAAAACAATACCATTTTTTTTCACACCAAATTAATTTCACATGCTGCTTATGATTGGTCATGCAAATTTTCATTAATTGATTTAGGAAAATTGTACCACCCCACCAAATGGGTCGTTTCTGGTTCTGACTGACCATTTCTAATTGACAGCTTTGCTGAGAGAAAATCTCTGTACCCATTTTAATAATAGTTATCTATGCATAACAGAGCAACCCAGTAGTTGGTGCCAGAAGAATAAAGCAATAAGTCTTTGATAACTCTTTTCTCTTTTTAGGAGTGTGGTATCACATTCCAAGTAAAAGAAGCACCATTGTTCCCAAAGGTCGGGTTAGTCAGCCACTTTCAGCCCTGCATATAAGGATTTGCACAAATTTAAGCTAGTTTACTTTCTCCAGATCTCAAGAAATATGAGAGACATGAGTTGAATGCATTTGATTTATGTTTGATGATTAATGTTTATTTCTGTATTACATACCTGCCACAATAAGCTGCACTACACTTCTAAAAGTCCTTAAGCCTCTCTCCAATTCACACTTAAATTTGGTATTGTCTGCAGGGTTAATGTTCTTGATAACAAGGGTAGCTCTTCCTTCAATTTTAACTCTTCCTCTGTAAGATTGAGGAATTGAAGAATGTTCTTGCACACCATGACTGTCATTAACCAACATTGTGACAAATACATCATGTACCAATAATAATGGCATCCTCGTCTCGGAGAGGCGATGGTCAGCGCATCAGTGTTGGTGGGCTCTTGAGTGGCTCAAAAGCCCGATTCTTGAGTGGCAATCTTTGTTGCAGCTGGAACAGATGTAATTGGTGGCCTCTTGATCTGATCTTTGACGTTTCTTTCTCGTCCCCCTCTTGATAGTCGCCTTGGCCCTGGCCTTCATCTCAGCCCTGTGAGCCCCGTCCTTCACACCCCGACGCCAGGCTTCCCGGTCTGTCGCAAGGATCTCCCAGGTGTTGGGGATGATTTCAGTGAGTTGCAGGTCACGCTTGCAAACGTCCTTGAAGCGAAGGAGTGGTCGGCCCGTGCGTCGGACGCCCTCTCGCAGTACCCCATAAAGGATTTGTCTTGGCAAGCGACCGGGGTCCATACGGTGTACATGGCCAAGCCACCGTAAGCGTCTTTGGATGAGTAGTGTAGAGATGCTAGGCATGTCGGCTCGCCCAAGGACCTCGGTGTTGGGGACTCTGTCCTGCCATTTGATCAGGAGAAGACGCCGAAGGCAGCGGAGGTGGAACCCGTTGAGCCGCTTCTCTTGTCTGGCGTATGTGGGCCATGACTCGCTACCATAGAGGAGTGTGGAAAGGACACAAGATTGGTAGACTTGCAGTTTGGTCCTCACGCTCAGCAGGTCATTGTTCCACACTCTTTTGTTGAGTTTGGCCATTACTCCCGCTGCCTTGGCAATCCTTGAGCTGATCTCGACGTCTAGTGATGCCTTGTTTGATACTGTGGACCCTAGGTAAGTAAAAGAGTCCACCACCTCCAGTTCAGTATTGTCGATTGTAATGACGGGAGGTGTCAGTGCATCTTGGGCAAGGATGTTCGTCTTCTTTAGGCTGATGGTAAGGCCGAACTCTTTGCAGGCGTGAGACAGCTTATCGACTAAGCGTTGGAGGCCTGCCTCGCTGTGAGATGCCAGGGCAGCATCATCTGCGAACAGCAGCTCGCGGATGAGCACCTCAAAGGTCTTCGTTTTGGCGCGAAGCCTGGCAATGTTGAAGAGCTTGCCGTCTGCCCTTGTCCGAATGTATACACCGTCCGAGGAATCGGCAAAGGCATACTGGAGTAACATCGAGAAGAAAATCCCGAACAGAGTTGGTGCCAGAACACAGCCCTGTTTTACTCCACTTCTGACTGGGAAGGCATCCGAGGTGGCTCCATCAAAGCAGACGGTGCTCTGCATGTCCTCGTGGAAGGCGGCGATGATGGCAAGGAGTTTCGGTGGGCAGCCGATCTTCTGAAGGATCTGGAAGAGCCCGCTTCGACTTACCAGGTCAAAGGCTTTGGTCAGGTCCACGAAAGCGAGGAACAATGGTTGCTGCTGCTCACGACACTTCTCCTGTAGCTGGCGGAGGGAGAAGATCATGTCCACTGTGGACCTGGCGGCTCTGAACCCACATTGGGATTCTGGGTAAACTCGTGAAGCAAGACTCTGTAGACGACTTAGAGTGACACGCGCAAAGACTTTGCCTACAGTGCTGAGAAGCGAGATGCCGCGATAGTTATTACAATCGCTTCGGTCACCCTTGTTTTTGTAGATGGTGACTATACTTGCATCTCTCATGTCTTGTGGGATGTGCCCTTCTACCCAGCATTGGCAGAGGAGCTCGTGAAGCGGCTGGAGGATGAAAGGCTTGCCGTGCTTTAGGACTTCTGATGGTATGCTGTCTTTCCCTGGCGCCTTGCCGCAGGCAAGGTTGTCGAGGGCTTTGCTGAGCTCCTCCAGTGTGGGCATCTCGTCAAGCTCCTCCATGACTGGTAATCTGGGCAAGGCATCAAGGGCAGCGTCAGTCACGATGTTCTGGGTCGAGTAGAGCTCGAGATAGTGCTCGACCCAACGCTGCAGCTGCTTGCTCTGGTCGGTGATGACTTCACCAGACTTTGCTTTGAGCGGTGCTGTCTTGATGCTCGTAGGGCCAGTGGCTGTCTTGATCCCCTCATACATCCCTCTAATGTGACCACAGTCGGCAGCTGTCTGGATCTTGGCGCACAGGGTCTGCCAGTACTTGTTGGCACAGCGGCGGGCGGTCTGCTGGGCCTTGCTCTTAGCTGCTCTCAGAGCGTCGCGTGTGCTGTGGCAAGGGTTATGCTTGTAAGCCAGGAGGGCTATCCTTTTGGCTTCCGTGACTGGCTGCATTTCTTTCCAGTGCGCCTCGAACCAGTCAGCATTCTTGTGTGCTTTTCTTCCGAACGCAGACATGGCCGAGTCGTAAATAGCATCCCGGAGGTGACACCATTTGGCATCCGCGACATCGGTTGTAGGCTGGTTGGCAAGTTTTTCCTGAAGGGTCTCGACGAAGCTCTGAGCCTTGGCTGGGTCGGCAGTAGCGCAGGTGTTGATGCGGGGGCGACCCTTTGTCTTGGCGTGGTGGATCTTACAAGGCTTCAGCCTGATCTTGCTGCCAACAAGGGAGTGATCTGTGTCACAGTCTGCGCTGTGATAGCTTCGCGTGTGGAGGACGCTGCTGAGGTCAGCTCTCCTGGTAATGACAAGGTCAAGCTGGTGCCAGTGGCGTGACCGGGGGTGTCTCCAAGAAACTTTGTGCAGCTCCTTGCACTTGAAGTAGGTGTTGGTGATGCAGAGGCCACGATTGCAGCAGAGTTCCAACAGTCTCTGCCCATTCTCATTTAACTTGCCAACACCGAAATGGCCGAGACAGGCGGGCCATGCTTGCCAGTCGGAACCAGTGCGTGCGTTGAAGTCACCTAGCAGGTATACGCTTTCGGAGCGGGGTATTTGGGACACTGTTTCCTCCAGGTCTTCGTAAAACTGATCTTTGGCTTCTGTGCTGGATGTAAGGGTCGGGGCGTAAACAGACAGGAAGTTGACAAACCCTGTAGGTGTCTTCATGCGGAGGACTAGGATTCTTTCGCTGCCTCCAATCGGCGTTTCTGTGGTGGCGAGCAGCGAGTTCCTCACAGCAAAACCTACTCCATGCAGCCTCGGCTTGTCCTGGGACAAGCCTCGCCAAAAGAAGGTGTAGTCAGATTCCATAAGAGAGCCGCTGTCGGCCAGCCGAGTCTCCTGGAGACAGGCAACGTCGATGTTAAGCCGTGTCAGTTCCTTGTTGATGATGGCGGTCTTGCGGGAGTCGTCTATCTGTTGAAGATCAGCAGAGAGACCAGGGCACATAGTTCGAACGTTCCAGCTTGCGATGCGAAGAGCTGGAGTCTTCGTTAATGTTTTCTTTTTGCCTGGTGCAAAGTTGTGACTCGCTTGTCGGGGAAGGTCCCCTAAGCCCTACGCACCCAGTAGAGCAGGCGAGCCATGGCGGGGCAGCACCTTACTGGCTGGGGGCTGCCCAGCTTGAGGGGCGGTAGCTGCCCAGTGAAGCTACGAGGGCTTCTCCCACCGTCGGATGATACCCCTGGCGCTCCAACCTACGCCAATCGGTCAGGAGCTTAGAACCGGTGAACTGCCTCATCCCGTGTTGTGCCGGAATCTTGCAAAGAACCGCTGGAGTGACCTCTCCAGTTTGCGCTGAAAGCCTGGGCGGGTTAGAATGGAGACGCTGGGTTGCCCACACTTCAGTGTCCCCCTCTCGGTTCCGCTGGCTGAGTCCAAGGGAAAGGGTGAACCTTTACAATTTGGAGCCAGTTTCACTGCAGGAGCTGCCGGAAGGTAGTGCTGTGCATCTGCCTTTCGCCTTAGGGGCTCCACTCCGGATTTAACCTCGAGGTTTACTCCTGAAGCTTTTCCTGCTATCAGGTATAGCCACAAAGCAGTGGAGGTTTGAAATCAGGGTTTTCCCTCCCCTAGATGGGTTGCCTTCACCGCGGCTAAAGAGCCCCATCTACCCTGAAGTAGTAGTGATGCAGTGTGAACATCACCCCCTCACGTGGTTTAGCCCGCCAGCTGAAGCGGTGTGCCGGGGTGTGGCGCTTGGAGCCAGCACGAGAGAGATTTAGGAGATGGATGAGGACCAGTGTGCCCGTCCACCCTAGTAGGATGCAGCTGCCAGACAACAAAGGTACTACCTCTATCCAGAGCCCCCTACACTATAGAAAATGCTCTGAATGTTATTATGTGGATCAGTGTAGTCCCACACCAGGTTGGCTTCACTACCATTTTCAAAGTAGCTTGGATTATGAGGTTCCTGGGTGAAAGGCACATCCAAACCCCCTAAAACAGATAAACATAAACATAATATTCTCAGACCTTTAGTTACATGTACATGTGTAAGGATAATATTTAAGAAGAATGGCTTATAAAGATTTCACCATTGAGGTAAGGAGTAACAAAATATAACTGTAAATATACATTACATTCGTATTCACTTGTATCAATCAGCTCGAAATATACTCTCACTTTTTAAGAAGTAAGGTTCAATAACAGTAATGCACAACTATCTGTGCCTTTTGGAAATCACATTTGACAAGTTCCACTTTCTTTAATTTCCAAAATGTGTACATTTTAAACCATCAAACAAGGGATTTATCATTCCACTCATTTAATTTTTCTTCTTTTAATTGGCTTCTAGTTTTTAAAAAGTTGTATGGTCCTATCTGAGCATCCTACTCAACATGTAAGATGTGTATAAGGGCAATTCCACTATCGCGGATGTTACATTCAGACTCAGTTTTGAAACTTTAATTTGGCACAGACAAAGGATAAATAAGGAGTTGTCCAGTTTTCCATTAATGAACATGTTTGTGCCTACTGACATATTAATTGGGCTGTACAATTTTTCCATCTCACTGATTTCTGTGAAAGAAATAGAGCCAAAAAACACTGTTGCGGACATTACATAAAAATCAACCACATTATCAAGTGCATTAGCATTAAGTCAAAATTCCTGTGAAGTATCAGGGTTTCTTATATGAACTGTTCCAAATATCTACAGTTAAGTGGTTGTGTGAACCAAAAAGCTCTATTTCATTCAAACTGGCATTCACAGTTTTACCAGGCTACTTGAACTTCAGCATCGCAGACGTTACAACCAATGTTGCAGACGTTACATTGTGTGAATCATTGTTAAGTATAGAAGATAAATCAGCTATTCTGTATTGTTCTTGGTCACAACATGGTTTTTAAATGAAAAAGCAGTGTGAAAGAAACACTTGAAAGACCTTCTGAAAGGCAAAGGTGACCTGTTAAGACAAGATGCAGTTTTCTTTCCCTGCAATGATATTCAGAGTGAAAATTGGTTCCTTGGAGTGATGTTTCCCCAGGAAATGTGCATTGTGGTGCTTGACAGCCTACCAGGGAAATTCATAAAGCCAACTGTGTTAAAACAAGTGGAAAAGATGGTGTCACTTCTTGTGAAAGTTGACCAGTCGATCGACATCGACCAGTGGTCTTTCTTTTCAAACAGGCCTGGTGAGATTCCACAACAGGACAATACCTACAACTGTGGTATTTTCACTTGTCTGTATGCAAGATGTTTGGCCACAAGATGCCAAATGATCCCTAAAACTGAAGTTCCAACATACAGGCAACTGATGATCCAAGAATTGCACCAGAAAAGGTTATGCCCAATTCCACCACCAACTATTCAACCGAGGGAATACTATGCAGTTGATTACATCAAAAACTATTATTTTGGCAGAATAATAGACAAAAATGACAGTTTTGTCCAATTCAAGTTCCTGCACAGAGTTGGTGCAACTACTTATCATTGGCCGAGGCGAGACGATATGGACAGAGTCCACCTTTCAAATATTTTTGCTGGTCCTGTTACTGTTCCTCACTTTATTAGTGGACTATTTGAAATTCCAGAGCAACCAGCTGTGGAAAAACTCTTCAGAGTCATTAGGAAACATACAAGGGTTTAAGAGCCGTGAGAAATGACTATGTTCATCAAATTTTGGTAGAACCCCTTCTATTCTTGAAATGTCAAAATAGCAACCTTCTTGAAAGCTGTTGTTTGTTTCAAAATGTTTGTTAGGTGAAACTAGAGCATATCTAGAAGAACCTATTGACTTATGGTGAAGAAGTGTAACGTCCGTGACGTAACGTCCGGAACAAAGTTTTGCTGCCATTATTTTGAAAATGTTGCAGTTTACTAGAGATTTCTTTTTACTAAAGTGCTTCTATTGGATATCTAGCTGTGTGACAAGAATGTCTTTAACATCTTTCACATAGTTATCTTAGGAAAGAAAAAGGAATGTTTAAATGTTGTGGACGTTACGTAACGTCCGTGACAGAACTTGCCTTTGTTATATCTACTTTAAAAAAAAAAGTTCAGGTGAAAGTTATATCTTTTATGTATTTATTCCATTAGAGGATTTTTTCTGATACAAGTGTTTGCAGCCCTTCATATTTTTGAAGTTTGATGCTGCAGGTTAAAATGTAACCTCTTGCCCATTGTCTTTCATAAAAAAAATAAACACTTCCTTTGGAGACCCCCCCTGAATACATGGTTGTCACAAGGGAGCTGGAATTTATTTTTCTGTGTGCTGTAACTTGTCAGCATCGTAACACAGAGTATAATTTCAAGTCTATAACAATAGGATTGTGTTACATCAGGTGACCTTACGCAAGCGACACGTGTGTGAAGTAAAGTCTCGTGTCTGGTCGTTTATAGACTTGCGGCTCGTTACATGGTGTCAGATGTGAGATTCGTCGAACAAAATGCCAGATAAAACACTTGGAACGCCCAGCACAAGCGCTGCGCTCAAACCGCCCAGCAATTTGGATTTCGGAAATCCCAGTGAGCTCCCACATGCCTGGAAAAGATGGAAAGAAGAAATTACCCTGTACATGGACTTGGCAATGGATGGGAGAGAAGAAAAGACGAAGGTAAAACTCTTTCTTTATACTATCGGCAACCAGGGACTAGAGATATACGACACACTGCCATTCTCCCGCGGCCCAACCGAACGTTCGCTCAAGGATGTGATCGATGCCTTTGAAACACACTGCAACCCCAAGAAAAACGAAACAGTAGAGCGTTATAAGTTTTTCACTAGGGTGCAAGAAGAAGGAGAGCCGCTAGAAAAATTCATAGTTGACCTGAAGATCTTAGCCTCAACCTGTAATTTTACCACCCTGCGGGAGTCACTGGTCCGTGACCGAATTATCTGTGGAATTCGTGACTCAAAGCTTAGAGAGGATCTTTTGAAAGTTGCCGACTTGGATCTTGATAAGTGCGTCAATGCCTGTCGAGCCTCAAATTATCGAAAGAAAGGAACAGAGGAATTGAGGCAACGTCAGAAACAGTCCACCATCTCACTAGCGGAAACAAAAGAGAAGAGAAAAAAGACAAAAGAGATCAGGGCGGCAGAGATGACAAAGATGAGAACCAGAAATTAATCCGAAAATGCAAATTCTGTGGACGACAACATCGGCGAGGAAATTGCCCAGCATATGGCGTAGAATGTCAAAAGTGCCACAAATCAAATCATTTCGCCTCCGTTTGCATGTCTAGGAGGCCAAAACCAGTCCACACTGTGGAAAGCGATGACGACTATGATGAAATAAAAACAGTAGAGTTGAACACCGTTGACGAGATTAACGCCGTGGCAGCACGTAAATTTCCAAAGCGCCTTTTCGCAACGATAAATGTGGGCAAGACGCCAGTATGCTTTCAGCTCGATAGTGGAGCCTCATGCAACGTCATCTCGGCGAAAACCCTCGAAAATTGCTTGGGTGAAGTTGAACTAAAGAAGACAACCAAAAGGCTTTCCATGTACAACTGCACCACGGTGCAACCATTGGGACTTTGTCAGCTGGAACTCTGCAATACCAAAAATGGGAATGTGTATCAAGTGGAATTCACAGCCCTAAGGCAAGATTGCACTCCCCTTCTTGGGAGCGAAACCACACAACAAATGGACCTCATCCAAGTACGTTTTGAAAACATTCTGTCCTTAGATCTTAGCTCAGAGGACAAGCCACTTACCAAAGAATCGCTTATTGCAAAGTTTCCGGATGTCTTCAATGGTACAGGTAAGCTTCATGGCTCGTACCACCTGGAAATTGAAGCAGATGCTATCCCTGTTGTTCACCCTCCAAGAAAAGTTCCCATAGCCATTAAGCCTCAGCTCAAAGAGGAATTGGAACGATTGCACAAGCTCGGAATCCTAGCACCTGTCACAGAACCTACTCCCTGGGTTTCTAGCATGGTTGTAGTAAAGAAGCCTAATGGTACCTTGCGTATTTGCATAGATCCGAAGGACCTAAACAAAGTCCTGAAACGCAGTCATTACCCATTACCCACCATTGAAGATATCCTGCCAGACCTCAGCCGTGCCAAAGTCTTCAGCACATTTGATGTCAAGAACGGTTTCTGGCACATCGAACTCGATGAAGAGAGTTCGAAACTCACCACATTCAATACGCCCTTTGGAAGGTACCGTTGGTTACGGTTACCCTTTGGCCTCTCCTCTGCTCCAGAGGAATTCCAAAGACGCCAACACCAGGTGATCGAAGGTCTTCCTGGAGTGTTGTCGATACATGACGATATTCTGGTCTATGGTGAAGGCGATACCTACGCAGACGCGCACCAAGATCACGATAGAAAGCTGAAAAACCTCATGAAAAGGTGTCAGGAACGCAATGTGAAACTCAAGAAGAGAAGATGAAACTCCGGCGCAACGAAGTTCCTTACATTGGTCACGTTCTCACAGACAAAGGACTCAAACCTGACCCCGGCAAAATCCAGGCGATGTTGGAAATGCCCAAGCCAACGGATGTGGCCGGAGTGCAGAGACTAATGGGTTTGTCAACTACCTCAGCAAATTCCTTCCCCGCCTCAGTGACGTATGCGAACCTCTCAGGAAACTAATGGCCAAGGATGTGGAGTGGCATTGGACGGACCATCAGGATCAAGCCTTCCAAAGGATCCGTCAGTTAGTCACCGAAGCACCAGTATTGAAATACTACGAGGCAATGGAAGACTCACTCAAAACGGCCAGCCCCTTGCATTTGCCAGTAGAGCCTTGTCAGACACCGAGACCAGATATGCCCAAATAGAGAAGGAGCTCTTGTCAGTGGTTTTTGGGTTAGAGAAATTCCATCAGTATACAGATGGCCGAAAAGTTACGGTACAAACTGACCACAAACCGCTTAAAGAAGCCTCTCCACATGGCCCCGAAACGACTCCAGCGCCTGCTACTACGATTGCTAGTATATGATGTTATCCTCACTTATAGATGTGGCCGTCAAATGCAGCTAGCAGATACGCTTAGTAGAGCATACTTGCCGCTCACCGATGCGACACCGTTCGAGATGGAAGTTCAAAGTGTAAACATGGTCCAAGATTTGCCGCTCGCAGCAGCTAGACTGGATGATGTCCAAGCCCACACTGCCAAGGATGACACCTTACAAGTGCTAACCAGAGTCATCCTGGAAGGCTGGCCGGAAGACAAAACTGCCATTCCTGCTGCAGCAATGCCCTACTTCAGTGTTAGGGACGAGCTTAGCGTCCAAAATGGGATAATCCTTCGTGGAGAAAGGGCACTAATTCCCAAATCACTCAGACATGATATGCTAAGGCGGATCCACATGTCCCACATGGGTGTGGAGGGGTGTCTACGACGGGCAAGAGAGTGCGTGTACTGGCCTGCCATGTCAAGTGAGGTGAAGGACTTTATTGTGAAGTGCGACATTTGCCGTTCTGTTGACAACAAGCAGCAAAAGGAAACTCTTATTTCCCATGATGTCCCCGACCGTCCGTGGGCCAAAGTGGGGGTTGATTTGTTCACGTTCAACCAGACCAACTACCTGATAATCGTGGATTACTTCTCTGGGTTCTGGGAGATCGACCCTCTAGAAAACACTACAGCCAGTCACATAATCAGAAACATGAAGATGCAGTTTGCCCGACATGGTATTCCCGATGTCTGTGTTTCAGACAATGGCCCACAATTTACAGCTCATGAGTACAAGAAGTTCAGCAAGCAATAGATTGCAAGCAATTCACCGAGATACCCCAAAAGCAATGGAAAAGTTGAAAATGCTGTCGGAGCAGCCAAACGACTAATGAAAAAAGCGAAGAAGAATTCTTCCGATGCTTACCTTGCTCTCCTCGACTACCGCAATACGCCAACACAACGCTTAGATACCAATCCAGCCCAGCGACTGATGAGCCGCCGAACGAAAACCCTCCTGCCAACAACAAAAAATCTGCTGGTTCCTGAAGTAACCATGGGGCAGCATCAGAAGATTCTGGCCAACAAGCAAAATACTACAACAAAGCAGCTCATGATCTCCCCGCGTTGATCTCAGGAGACGTTGTCAGAGTGAATCTCTCCCCTGACAGCCTCAAACAAGAAGACCTGCAGAAGGCACAAGTCAAGGCCAAGGTCGGGGTCAGGAGCTACGAGGTAGAAACAGAAGACGGCAAAAGATTTCGACGCAATCGCATTCACCTAAGGAAATCAAATGAGACCTTCAGCACTCGCCAACCGGCGGGGAAGTCGTCATTTGGCTATGTTCCAGCAGCGTCAACAGCCAACCCTCTGGGCTCCGTCACCACACCTATCGATCTTGTCGCTGATCAGTCGCCAGTCGGACCAGCTCCAATTCATACCACAGATCTGCTTGGAAATTCCAGTGAGGTAGTTACTACACTGCCAAATGACAGTCCTTACCGCACCCAGCACGGCCGTGAGATCAAGCGACCGAAGCATCTAAGAGACTATGTCTAGATAGAGATATTAAACAATGTTTGAGTTTGAACTTAATTTAAGTTTAGGTTATGTCATGACGGAGACAGACACTAATTGACTGCAAAGCCAGTTTAGTTTAGTTGTTTTGTTTGTTTTCATATTTTGGTTCATGTTGTTGTTCTCTAAAGGGGAAAAGATGTAACAATAGGATTGTGTTACATCAGGTGACCTTACGCAAGCGACACGTGTGTGAAACAACCCAGCGAAGGCCGAAGTAAAGTCTCGTGTCTTGTCGTTTATAGTCTTGTGGCTCGTTACAAAGTCCAACTTGTTTTTAAAAACCTGGATTTTGACACCACTCGCGTGGAACTGCCCATAAAAAAGAAAACATCAGGAAAGAAACCATTTAAGTGTTCTCGGTAACCATAACAAGATCCTTATGGGCTTTACAGTTCACTGCTGAAAAATTCATGCCTATTGGAAAAAGGAATGAAAGATCAAGTGAATCACTTCTGATGGTATCCCTACCCTGTTCTACAGAGTATAACCAAGGCATATTTAGTGTGTTCCATTGCCCTAACAAAGGTAAAATAATATAATAGTTAATAAAAATTAACAAATATTTGCCAATGGTAAAGTGAATATCATTCATTGATCTTCCCTTCACCTTCAGCAAATAATTGGGTATGAAGTATAATTGCTCAATTAAGTGCTTTTGCATTCTGCTATAGATTCTGTTAATAAAGAAAGCATTGCACATATTTTTGTTACAATTTTGTTGCTTACCTGTATCAAGATAAGCAAGCAGTTTTATAGGAGGTTTTTTTAATTGAATCAGCAAAAACTTCATCCCTTTGTTTTGAAGTGTACTGTTAACCTTTTTTAAACATTTGAAAAATGCAAGTCAGCTATTTTCAAATTTAGCGCTCTTGCTATAATCACCCTGCACAGGGTGATTAAAGTGAGATATGATGCAATCCTCCATCAATCAGAGCATGCACATCTCTATAATCAACTGAACAATTACACTAATGGTATTTCATCGTTTGAAGTCATCTCATAACACAAGTAAAAACAACAACAGCAGTGCAAACAACAATGCAATGATCAATCATGTCATGTGTGCATGATTTTCCAGAAACCTCAGCTCATTAAGTTGGCATAAGAGATCAACCACAATTTTCTATTGTCTATAACCCTGGTCATGGAAAGGATGTCAACAATGTTCAAAACTGTTTTGAAATCACTCAGCTGCTCCTCCTTTAGCTTTGAATATCTTTAACCTCATTTCTGTGATCAATTAGGTTTTGTATAATAAGCTTAATTCTACATGCATTTTGATTGGTTCTTTCATGTACTTATGATCTATTGGAGGACAAACACATAGGTGACATCACCATTGACAATTTTTGCTTTGTCATTAATAAAACAAAATAGATTCCATGTTGCCACAGCTCTGCACAGTTATAAATCACAGAGGATGTTAAAACATGCTAAGAACATCAGTGACACACTTACCTGCACCTCACTTGTTCTAGGCATTCAGTAAGTAAAACATAGCACAATAGTGAACAGTGCTATCATCTCCCTCACTTTTTTACTCCTCTGCTACTGTCGCATCTATTTTGCTTCATTTTTATAACTGAATGCCTGGAACAAGCTTTTAGCCACATCTTATGAGCCACTTTTTTGTTCTTACCATATTCTGACATCACATGTGAGCTATTACTGAACAGATGCACAGCAACATGGAATCTATTTTTTAAATAGACAATGGAAAATTATGGTGGATTTCTTTAAGTGCTTTTGTGTAAATTGATTGCCAAGCTTACTGGTGGTTAGCCACCAGCTATTCACCTTGCCTAGAAACATCACACAACAACAAAATGGCTTCCCACTTTGCTGTGGTAGACTAAGAGAAAATAATTTCAATAAACAAAGCAGCTTTCACGAAAAATAAAAAATAGAGTTCCAAAAATGGTTACCGGTAAATATGGTTGGGAAATGTAGGAAATATAGATGATTCATATTTAATGAGTGCATGTGATTTATATTCACAAGATGTGAAGAATAAAATGATGAGCATGGAACAGGCAAGTTTTTGTCTATAAAAATTGTACATGTAAACTTTAAGTAAAGTAAATAATTGCGGGTTGTGTGTGTTTCATATGCAGAAAATGGAGCAACATTTACATTACTTCTGGGAACAAAGTAAAGACAAAAACAAGGAATATATTAGATGATTGAAAAGCATTTGTTAATACCATGGGAATTATAGTGCCAATTTGAAACATAAATTTCTTTCTCATTCACATAAGCTCAAATGAAATGGCAAAGGCGGACCATAATGCTTTCTTATCAGAGTCAGAATTTAGAAATTTAATTCTTTTGTACCATTTTGGAGGTGATTCCACTTTAGTTCCTCAGATTGTGAATGTCAGGAATTGATCAAAGCAAAGATTTGACAAAGATTGTGATCAGTTTGCATGAGGTGAAACCAGAGAGATTTTCACCAATTTTCATAAAATCCAGCTTTTTCTGACATTATCTTCATAAATTAATTTAACTTATTTACACCAAAAGCTGACTTCTTGTTTTTAACCTTGAAGTCATGATTCTACAGTTGTACGCACCCAGTAAACATTGCTGACGTTCACTTTCATTCCCTTTGGCAAGCCCCCACACCACAAAGGCAAGAAAACCCATACTATTGTTTCTACTGGTCAAAAATTTCATCTATGACTTGTGATTGGTCAGATGCTCATTTCTCATTTGTGAGGAAAACCATCTGACCTATCAGAATTTGTGCAGTTCATTACAAATCAATTTTTTTTTTCAGATTTAGCTTGGAGTAAATCTCAGTATGTATATTATAAGCCCACATGTATACACACACATTTCAAAAACTTTGGTCCTTGTAAAACTTTACCTTTTTCTAAATATACAACAAAAGGAACTCTCATGGCTAATGGTGTGGGATACCATAACCATATCTGCATAAAGCTAAAAACTGGTCAATTCAATAAACAATTCATACATGTTGGTAATTGAGCAAAGAAAAGCTCAATTATCCAACCAAGTGCATTATGTAGTTTCTTTACATGATTGCGGCCTGGAGAAAAATCACACTCAACTTAGCTAGCAGCAATTATCCAATTATCCTGCAAAATTGTTAACAACTCTTCCCTATGATGAGTGATGGATGGCAAGGAAGAGAGTTTAGTTACAGATGGCAACTCTTTCCTGGGTTTCCATAGCCATCATGTTTGTATTGGAAAGCCAACTGACAAAGCAGTAACTTTTCTCATGGCTAAGAAGACGACTCACACTAATTAAGAATATAGTGCACTTCTACGTTTTAATGTTGATGGATTCTGAAAGTATGGTATTGTTACACTTGAAGCATAAAATCCTTTGTTATTGATTTCTATCGCATCATAGTTATTCAGACTTCATTTATCACGTGATTGAAATCCCAACATCACATCTTAAATTTAAAATACATCAATACATTTGACAAACATCACGCTCAGAAATTAAGGGTCGGCGTTTTCGGTTTCTAAGCTTAACTTTGGAATAAAGACACTGTAACATCCTTTGTACGGGAGAATAAATTTCACAATTACCTGACCCGTGAAACTTTACCAGCAGAAGAAAGAGTAAGTAAATTTCATAATCACAGAAAGACACCATCTCATCAGATCTTCGCTGATGCTTCAATGAGGAAGGTTGCGCCTAAATCTTATGGAAGTTCCTTGAAGGGATAGAAGAGAAGGCCCCTCTTCGTTTTCAGACTGGGACCGAGTGTCACGATCACCCTCGTGAACTTGTCGGCCGTACTCGGCAAAATTGCCTAGACAACATGACGGATGGTGCAATTTATGGAAGAAAACTCGATCTAACCTATACACTTGGGACATTTGCATGAATTGTCGAAACTTTCCTTTCGGAGAAACGTTCCATTCAGAGAAATCTACGCGTGAAACTTGCGAACGCGTCCAATGAGCGTGACTCGATGCCACCGATATCAATCACGCGCGCGTATGAAGCTAAATTAAAGTCACGCAAACAAAAAATAAATTGTAACAGACAGTTCTCAACTCCTCTTTCCTTTTTATCAACAGTGGATTCTTTTCTAAGGGCCACTACATATAATCAAGGTCGGGTTTCGGTGATCTATCCCTGTGGGGCCGTATTCCTGGAGCCGGAAACGGAAATCAAACGGATCACAAGCGAAATAATTACGCAATTCAGAAGCGCAAGCGCAAACTTTCAGTCTTGTGCCCGAAGTAAAATCAGCCGAGAAGCTACTGCACGAACACGAAGTGGAAACGACAACTAGCTTTGTAATGTAGGACAGCTACGGTGTTGGTAAAGGTAAGTCTGAAGTCAGAGGGGCGTCTTACATAAACTCTGCTTACGAGAGGGAATGTTAAGTGGAGGGATGCAGGGGTGTAGGGTTTATGGGGAGACCAAGAGGGGAGGGGGATCCAAAAATTTACTATCGTAGCATTTCATAAAAACTGCAAATGAAATCTACTCTTTATTTTGATTTTGAGAGACAGGTGTGTAATTCACTTTGTTGTTGTTGTTGTTTTTTTTTTCCTTTTGCAAAAATTGGAAAAAACGGAATAGAATAAAAACATAAAAGCACTACTGAACTTCAATAGCTTCAATGTAGTGGCTAGCCTGAAAAAAGGAGGGTTATATGTGGTTTTCGATATCCTACTTCAGATCTGATCCAAAAGCCAACCCCTACAGCACATGCCTCCCGCACAGACTTATTGACCGACTGATTGACTACCGGACCAAATTAATAAATGAATGACTGAATGAATAAATGTCTCTTCAATGCCCTTTTGATTTGTCACAGAGGTATTTTATTAAGATCCCCAGACTGCAATGTCCCAAACAAGGATCACATATGATGGAGTTCCTTTTATTATCACTGAAAAGCGGGTGTATGATTGCCATCAGGGCACTAACAGGCATGCAGCTGATGAAACACGAAGAAAAAATGCTGGGGTGACAACACAGGAGTTTTTTTTGCAGCAGTTCTAAGAATAGCAGCAAATTATTGTTTTTACAGTTCTAACTTTTTGAGAGGTCATGTACACGAATAAGATGGCGGGATTTTACTGGGGCAAATCCCTCTAAGCTGACATCACTGCTGACATTTGTTTGTTCTCTATGCAAGCTGTACCTCTAGCCAGTAGTACCAGCTAGAGGTACAAGACCAAATGAAAAAAAAGTAAATGTAGACCTATTCTTGAAAAAAAGTGATTCAAAAGAGTGTAAGACTAATTTGGAGTGCAGAAAAATAAATTGTGAAGCAAACCATAATAAAAATAGGCAAACACGACTGATCTTGTGTGGTGCCGTCATGGACGAAGTCAAGCGAGAGGTATGTATTTATTTATTATTATTATTTATTTAACTTTATTTATACACGGATAAAACATTAGGACTTAAAGTAATTACTAAAATTGCATTCATTACATTCCTAAGATAGTATCTGTTATTAGTATCTTACATTCTTAAGATTCTAATCTACTACTAATTAAATCTAATAACAGCATAAAAACAAAAATGAAGTCCCTGCTTTCCATGAATGCCGTGTGATTAATTAACTTATTTATCATCAAAAAGGAAACCCCCGAGGCTGGATTTAAAACTAGCAATAGTCTGTGCTTGCCGCAGATTGGTAAGTAAGCTGTTCCACATCACCGCACCATTATAGCTGAAACTGTTTTTTAGAAAATTGGTGCGGGGGAGTGGAACAGCTAGTTTGCCTTCAGAATTCCTAAGAGAATAGGTAGATATTGCACTCCGATCAGTAAACATTTATTTCGGATAATCAGGGGCAAGACCATTAAGAGATTTATAGACCATAGTGGCTGTTTTCAATTCTCATTGGAGATTAAGTTTTTGCCAGCCCTGAGTCTAACGAAGAGATCATCTGCTTTGGCATCATCTGAAGAAGAGGTCAAAATACGCGCAGCGCGATTCTGTAGTTTTTGTAGTTTAATGGAAACAGAATTTTTTTCAGGTCCTATTTACAACTACTTGTTTCAGTAGTGTTCTTAGCTGCGAGGATCTTCTAATTTCATCTCTCCACCGCAGTGCAAATATGTGAATTTTCATATATCTAAATTCTTCATTCACTTGGATGTTTATTTGTACCCAATTCATTGACCAGCTCCCAGTTGGCTTGTTACCTCAATTGGTAGAGCGCTGCACCGGTATCGCAGAGGTCATGGCTTCAAATCCCGTACGGGCCTGAATTTTTTTCAGGTCCTATTTACAACTACTAGTTTCAGTAGTGTTCTTAGCTGCGAGGATCTTCTAATTTCATCTCTCCACCGCAGTGCAAATATGTGAATTTTCATATATCTAAATTCTGGAAACAGATTTATTGCAATTCCCTCATACGACATACTGTTCCGTTGTTTACGTTGGTATGCATAGTCATGCTGATACTGATTTATAAATGACATATCAGGCAGTCATATAGCATGTGCTATGATTTGAAAAAAGAGAAATCAACAGCACCCTTGGAGTTTAGTGAAGAGCATGTACGCGACCTCTCAGTATCAATGAAATTAAGGGTTTGATCCTTTGAGTTTGGCGGGAGGTCCATTAATTCAGTGCGACATCGTTTAGTCGCCTCGCTTTTTATGTTGCTATTTTAGAACTAGCTGTCGTTTCAGCAAAGAATGTAGTGGAAGGAATAACCACCGTGTTTGACGAATGTATGGTATTGATGACCAACAGACTCGGACCTCTGGTCAGAGAAAGCATCTCGCGGTGGAGGAAAATGAAAATTAAAGGAACATGTAAGAATATTGTATGTATAATGTCTACGTAAACTTTCTGCACACTTGACAACGTAACACAAGTGAAACAGAGTCATTTAATAAAAGGCACTGGTGTAGGCCTTTTGGGTTTGTAGAAGGATCAAAAATGAAATAATGATATTCTTTTGGGTTTGTAGAAGGATAAAAAATGAAATAATGATATTCTTCTCAGAAATCGTTGTAGGCAATCAGCCACAATTTTATGACGTTCTTTCTCGACAGAAAGCAGAATGAATTGTGAAGCGAAATCAGAGTAGACCTTAAATCAGTATGGACTAAAGGCCTTTTGATAGTTTCTGTCTCTATGTAAAGCTGAATGCCAACCATTTAATTTGATAGCTGCAACGGTTACTAATTATTTTGTTAGTTGATTATGTCCTATCTCGAGAGAACCGCAATCCAAGTGACTCAAGACTAGCGGTGTAAATCTCAAAAGTGAAGTGACACCCCTATCGAAGTGCAAGAGAAGAGGATGGAGACCCTCTCTAGGGTTCTCGTTGTGATTGGGTATTTTGAAAGAGAGTATCAATTGTTAACTGCTGAACACAGCTGTTAAGGTATGATTTAACCGACAGAAAGAACACTCATGATACTCCTACAAACCCAACCACCTTATCAAACAACGTGTAATATTCTTATCAAGGAGCGACTCCTAAAAGCAGTACAGTAATTATCCTTTGTAAACTTACCTTATTCCACTACAGACTACAACTTAGCTCACCAATGACACAATCTTTGCATCAAGAATGGCAAATTTGACAAAGTTCGACATTTGCAGAAATGTTATAGGATGAAACTCATTTCCTTCTCAGCAAAAACCTTCAAAAAAATTATATACAAAAATTTCGGTGAATTCATTGAGCAAAGCTACGACCACCCCCCATTCATTTCATCCCCTCTCCTCTGTATGCTGAAGCATCATTTTGCCCCCAGAAACAAAATAACGTCAGGGAATATTTCCAAACAGACGCAAAACTCTCCTTCATTTAAATGTTAATACTATTCCTCAGGTATCCTCTACTCCAGACTGAAAGAGCGTTGTTTTCATATTAGGTACTGTTTCTAGTGCAATTATTTATATCAGCTGAGGAAAGAAGGGTTTTGACCAAAAGGTAACCTAGTTTATAATTATGTAAGATTGAGGGACTCTTAACTTAACCTCTACTGAGAGTGACCGGAGAACATGGTCTCTTGGATGTAAGTCTCCTGGAACACGTACAAGCGATTTTTTGCACTTCGGGAAGCTCTGTTACTTTGGTTTGGTTTTGTCCTTCCTTTAAAAGAGAGATCTAGAGGGATGGGTCTAGATATGTTAGATCAATGTCGTGGAGAGAAATATGTGAACTGGCGTACAGCATCATCATGCAGACAGAGTCAACCCAGAACTTTTCAACACTTTTATTATGTAAAAAAATTAAAGTTATTACATTAGCAACGTATTCAAGAAAAAAAAGACTTCAACACGTACCTACGACCAGTTTCGTTGAGTAATAGTATCTAGTACGCGAAAACTATCGGGCCAAACAACAAAATTTCTTGCAAAAGTAATTTGCCAAGTATAAGTTTGATTAGAATACCGTATAAAAGTATTTCGAGTTGGTATCGCGGGTAAAGGCGGTCTTGGGGAAAGCAATTTATACGCACGATTAGCTTTCCCGCAAACAAACGGGTTTTGCGGCAAATTTTTTTAGCAATTTATTATAATTGTACACAACTATGGCTTTTAGAGCGAGATCTCATCATCACCTCAGAATTGAGCCAGAAAATAAACGGAACTCAAACGCTTGTGTCGAGGCATACATGTAAGTACTGAATATGTTAAAGAGAAAATGAGAGTAACCTTTATCGGTAAACTTATAAAAGCGTTTCAGCGTTTAAGAATATGAAGTCAATTGAATTACAGCGTTACAGCCTAAC